CACGTAAAAATTTCTGGTGTGATCACAGCTTGATTCATTTTCATCTGAGTGTGTGCTGCATTTTCGTGCAACGCTAAGACGATAATCCATTACTCTACCGCCGCAAATTTTCTAGCACGCATCATATATATATATATATATAGAGAGAGAGAGAGAGAGAGAGAGAGAGAGAGAGAGATTGAGAGAAAATTATATCTTATGTATGTAAATGCCTTTAATATAAAATCAATTATGATATGATACAAAAATTAATTAAGTAACAATATATTGATTTGGGGGTATTTACATACATCCATCCATGAATACACAAAGATGGTCATGCATAAAATTTTATACTATTTTCCTTAATTGAACCCACAGTTTGAAGTGTCTGAATTGAGCCTATTTGCAGAAGTGGCTGGATCGATCTCACATGTCTAAATGGCTTAATCGAGCCAACCTGCTAAAGTAGTTGAATCAAGTTCATCTACGGACGTGACTGAGTAAAGCTCGCCTGCCGAAATAGTTACATCAATCTCTCCCCAAAAGACGGTCTAGCCCTCTTTTACGCATTTCGGGTGTACATGGATGATACATTCGGGTTACAATGACGTTATATTCGGTTTACACGCGATTGTAAAGACGTCCATCGACCCATCCTTAAATGCATCACTCGATATTTATAACTATGAATTTTCATACAGACATCAAAGGTACACGTTGAACCAATGCTGCCCGACACTTACAGTACAATTTTTTTTATCATGACACTGAAAAAGAGTGTCATAAATTATTACTTAATTCTTCATTGAGTATACAAAGGCGAGTCAAAATAAGATCGAAGAGTATTTTTCTGAAAGGAATCTCTGCCTCCCGTCTTTATCTTTCTAAATATCTTCTAACTCATGAAGCCTTGTCTCACCAGAAATAAGAACTCAATACATTCCCTAATATTCTCCCATAGTACTCACATTCATATATATATATCTTGCTGCCATTTATCTTTCCATTTAATACATTCCCTAATACAATGAGTTCCTTATTATTATAAGTTTTAAAAGGTAAAATCAATATATATATATATAATTGAAATTTAGACCGTAAATATATAAATAAATAAAAATTGAGGTACATGTATGTAAATACTGAGCCGACGTGTCTTCCGGTGATTTGCTATCGCGCGTCTTATGTACCCAAATTTTTTCCTGTTTTTACAGTCACCGTCTTGCTAAAACCCAGGGTGGCTCTCAGTTTCTTTTTGTTAACTCACACAATGGCTCTACAGTCACCGTCTAGCTAAGGGTGGATCTCAGTTTCTTTTTGTTAACTCACACAATGGCTCTTGTTTTTAAGGCGAACCTGGCTCTGCTGGAGCGAAACCCTCGTTTCTAAAGTTAGGGTTTTGGCGCAATTCGGTAACTAATGAAGCTTTATGTATTTATTTATTTTTTAACTTTAATTTAGCTCTATTTCTTCCCGGCTTCTCGGTATCTACCAGCTTTCTTCTTAACCTGTATTTTGCAGGTTTCAGGTGCAGGGATTTTTTCACTGCTATAGTTCGTTGCTATCAAGTAGGACGCCATGTATGGAGGCGGTGAGTGTTCTTTTCTTTTTAGTTGATATTTTTCCGTAACCTAAATTGCGACTTTAACTGTTCTTACTGTTACTGGACTCCATTTATGCAGACGAAGTATCGGCAATAGTCATTGATTTAGGTTCTCACACCTGCAAAGCTGGTTATGCTGGTGAAGATGCTCCCAAGGCAGTCTTTCCCTCTGTAAGTGTACTCGAAATTTCAGCAGTTACAATTAATTTGTTGTTTTCCCGCATCTCTCTCTGCGCTCGCGCGCGCGTGTTGGACGTGGGGGTGGAATCTCCACGCTTTATTCCGTAAAGACCTAGTTTTTAACCTTCTGTGGATGACTATTTTGGATGTGGTTACCTACCTATTTTGAATCCCAGTGATTAATTGGATAATTAAACATTGGTTATATTAACATCACGATCATATTAGAAAGAGTTTAATATTTCGCATTTATGAATTTTTATCTGATCAAACACACAGGTTCTTCTTACAAAATTTATCATTTTCTATGCAATTTTGGTATCATTGGAAAAGAAGAAGAATGTCCAATACAAAATCCGGTGAGGGGTTGGCGTAAGCATTGACGATATGTTATTTTAACGATTCAAACTCACGGTCATGCCATTATGAGCACAACTTCACCATTGTTTTAGAACTATTCTCTCCATACTTATATAAACGATTGATACATCATATTTATTACTTAGTCATTTCGCTGTTTTGTATCATTATTGGTTATTTATTTTCCTTTTTAAGATCCGTAAAGTTTTGGGTGATTATTATGTTTATGTTATACCAATTGTGAATCCATTTTCTTCTAAAGTCTTTGGAGAATTGTGGTTGTAACTCCAAACTTTTGTTGGAACTTCTGCTTCATAATTTGCTTAATACTTGACTCAAATTGTTTAGGTGGTTGGATCAATTGAGCAGCTAGAAGCGGTAAATGGTGCTAAGCTTGACAAAGGATTGGAATCCATTTCTGATCCTAAAGGCGGACTAAAGGGATTTGATTCAGAGAAATCTAAAACAAAAAGAAAATTGTATGTTGGATCCCAGGCCTTAGGCTTTAGAAGAGACTATATGGAGGTAAGGTTTCAATAAAATTTACTTTTATCTCTATAATTCTACAACAACGATTGATTCATTCTGATGTTGATACTTTATTTTGTTTTTCAATTTAGGTGATATCACCTTTTAAAGATGGAGTTGTTACTGATTGGGATATTGTTGATAACATTTGGGCTCATGCCTTCAAGTGAGTCTCTTATTATCTATGACATGATCATTTTGGCCCTGCAAAACCTAATTTTTGTTACACATACACATTAATGGAGTTTATGATTAAGTAGTCATAGTTCTTTTTGATTATTTCATTTTCTTGCGCCAGTATGGATGTACGTTCTTCAAGTTCAACCACATAAGAAATTATAGGAACTTAATTAGAAACGGAAAAATTTTTCTTTTTTTATTTTTTAATACATCAATTAAATTGTACACTCACTTTTTATCTATTAGTTACCTTCTCAAGTTTGTGCTACAAATAATGAAAATAAAAAATATTTTTATGTAAAAAAATATATATATTAGTCTATAAAAATCCACCATACCACTTTCTTTGCAGCACATGGTCGGTAATGCCTATAGAAGACTTATATGTACATGCTCTAGTGAAGATGTTTGTCTTGATTCATCTTCCTTTTGCTAGAAGATTTCGGTGACATCAGAAGAGCAATATTATATTATTTCACATTATATTAAAAGTAATGGAATGCTAAAACTTGCCATTGTGAGCTCGTCTCAACACGAGGGATTTTCTTTTTTTAGATGCTCGGTGACCTTGATAAATGTTTCTTCCAATTGAATGAAAACATACATAAAAATGTGATTACATGGCAATTTATACCCTAATTAGAAGAAGTGTGGAACATCACTTGATAACATTTTCAATTGGTCAGTAGATTGACCTTGTGCTAGAATGACTAAAAGAATATGATGGTTTGTTATTCAAACAATCACTTATTGGCGATGAAAAATGTAAATCTTGATTTGATTGCTCTGTCTAGGTTTAGTTCAACAAAATTTAAACATAATTTTGAGGTTTTTAATGATGTGAAATGGTGTTCACCATGGCATGCAGTGTGACGAGGCACACTACTTATGCTATTATGATAGAGTGGTGCATAGCCTTAACATGGGTCGAGCCATAACAGCTGATAGATGGCCCATTCGTGCCACGTGAAAGATGGTTAAATGCTTCACATTTACCTAATACTCACTTAGCTAAAATAAAATAAATTATGCCTTAAAGTTAGTCAAATAAATTCAAATTATATATGTCTTTGTGAATCTGACATTGACAATTGGTTTGTTGGATGTAAGTTTTATGATTTAAAATTTTGACATTGAAAATTACATGGTGTTACTTGCAACTGAAACTCAGATACTTCTTTTCTAGATGCAATATAATGAAAATAAATGAAACTTTTTATTGTATTTATACCCACAAGAGAGAGGTTGTAGTATTGAAATTCGACACTGCAATTGTGCTATCATACTATATTTTATTGCTTTTTCATTTTTTTTGTTTTTCAAAGCTCTTAATTAATTGCGTTTGGAAAATTTCATATTTATTAACTTCTTACAGAAAACTAGCTTGATAATTACTGTTGCAGGGAAAGGTTACTAATTGATCCGAAGGAACATCCAATGCTAATTGCAGAGCCAACCTCAAATTCTCTACAGCAGAGAGAGAGGTTGTCTTTCTCCTCAGTATTTACTCTCATAACATAAACATGTTGTTGACTTGATTTTTCATGATTTTTTTAATTGATTGCAAGCTAAATCAGAAGCTCATACGTTTGAATTTACTGGATATAATTTTAGGGCAGTTTGGTTTTCTGTATTTAGAATGCTATATAAGCAAATGAATTCAAATTACCTGTACTTACTTTATTGTTATTGTTAATGAAATGAACGTTGAAGTAAATTTACTTCTTTAACATAAAAAAATGCATTAAAAAAAACTAACTTTGCATGCAAACATTTTACTTTACGCTAAATTTTCATTTCGTTAAACAGCTCCTTTAGCTTCATGAATATCCCTGTTTCTGTTCCACAATGCCCTGTGAAGTGGTCCAAGTCATGAAATATTTTGAAAGAAAGATTTTTAATTTGAATAGCATGCATCTAGATATCAGCTAGAATAATTCTAATAAAGCCTTCAGGAAGCTTGGCAATCTTAGTGATTTTTTCTAGTGCATCTTTTTGGTATTTGTCAGCTGACATACTTATTAATGGCTGGGCAATCAGGAAGGAACAAAGAAATAACACACTTGTCATCATTCAGGTAAGGCTCTAATATATAAGCAACATAATGATTATGATGCCAATCAAAAACTTTTTAATTAATTGTTGATTCAACACTGACTGCTAAAGTTATCTATAGTGGAGTAACAAAACCTGATGCGATTAAATAACATTAACAAATAGCCATTTGTCAAACAGTATTTTATAAGTTAGCGAACTTGAGCAAATAGAAAATCTTTAATATTTTTTCACTCAAAAGGTAAAAGAAAAGCATTTTCGTACAGAAAACATGGATGAGACTGTTCCTTTTATACACAAATGATAAGTAACTCAATTACAAAGCTATCATGAACTAACATGAAATTAAAATCAAACTTTACAAGCTGCACTTCGTAGAATGTTGATAAAAACGTGCAATAATATCAAATACCGAAAGGAAAATAATTGATTGAGGAAGAAAGTGCCCTTTGTAGTTATGATTAAAGTAGGTGTGATTGGCGAATTTGGTAGCAAAGCTTGTAGAATAAAAAAGAAAAAGAAAACCTAAGGGACAAAAGAAAAAAATAGCACTTAACCATAAGAATGTTTGAATCAAATTGATTAGATCCATGATATACTTTCACCACTTTGCATATATTGCGCACCATGTACCTAATTGAAAGATACATCATTTAGCCAATTGCATGTGTAAACTGTACTCAACTATGGTGCTCAGTGCCAAATAAAGGTATATTCAAAGAGATATCGAGGCATTTTTTCTTTTAAGATGAATCTGTTGAGCTTATATCTCATTTTCCATTGGGATTATTAACTAGCACATGTAAAATAAAAAATAAAAGTATTGAGAATTGCTTAATGCACTAGTTAGGTGTAAAAGGTAGTTACCTATGTCGCCTAGTGCCAAAGAGAGGTACTATTAAAGTGCTATCGAGGCAATCTTTCTTTTAAGATGAATCTGGAAAACTTTCATCTCATTTGCCATGGAGCCGTTGGCTAATACTTGTATAATTCAAAACAAAAGTATTCAGAAGCTGTTCAAAAGATTTCTAGGTAGTAGGTATATTAAAAGAAGAAAGAGACCAAATGTCTGTTGACTATTTGTCAAGGGGCATTTTAGCCTCAAACTATATAAAATGTTCGATGTAGTCCATAAACTCTTAAAATAGGAGCCAAAATGATCCTATTGTTACAACCAACGGAAATTGAAGTTCTGTTTAATAGATGGTGTCAAATGAGGGTGTTTCATAAAGTTATATATTTAATTAATGGAATATAATTTCTTTTATATTTTCTTTTGTGATATAATCAATTAGCAACATTCCCAATATTTTTTCATTTTTAGGTGCTCATGATATTCCACTCTTAAAATAATTCATTTATTAGATTTTTTTTTTTTAAATTTAAGATGTAAGTTCTTAAAAAAACACTATCTTTTAACACCATTCGTTAACTTATCATTTTTAGGTGCTCATGATATTCCACTCTTAAAAGAATTCATTTATTAGATTTTTTTTTTTTTTTAATTTAAGATGTAAGTTCTCAAAAAACACTATCTTTTAACACCATTCGTTAACTTCAATTTTCATTGTTATTAATAGAGGGACCACTTTTGTTCCTATTGTATGTGTTCATTGACTAAATCATTTTTTATTCTATTATATGGTTCAAAATAGTCGGGGGAACATCTTTGTCCTTTTCTCAACTAAAATGTTTCATGGAAAAAGGTTCATATACAAAAATTTAAGTTTTCTTTTTTGTTCATTATGCTGTTTCTTTGAAAGCAGAAAGTCCATTTAAGTTTATTATATTTTTTCATCAAAGACAAACTCTTATGGACAGGTCCAATGCAGAGGCTGAATATTTAGATATGGCTTGCTCAATATGTGAAATGATGACGGTTTTAGCACTTTAGAAGAGTTTGAATTTCTCGTTACTTGGTTATAAAACTATATTGTGACAATTTTAAGACCATTTATATTCCAAGCTATCTTGATTTACGTTAACGGACTAAACATTTTGAAGGTAGTTGTCATGTCATAAGGTATATTTACCTTTTAAGAAAAGTATTGCTCCTTATGTTCCGGTTCACAAAAAAACCTTGGGCCATCAATTATTTCCTCATTAATTTAATAAGTTTGAGCGAAACAATACATATGCATTAGCTAGAGGGAGAGTGTTAGCAGATGGCACATGTCAGGAAAAATAATATTATAAGAGTATCAATTTTGGGAATTCCCTCGTAATTGTGATTAGATCGGTCTTTTTTTCCTATTATATCCATATCATATACCTATAAATATGCATATTCAGTGAATAAGATAGAGTTTATTTATTTTTTCATGGACAACTGATAGGATTTCTAGAATAAGCTACTTTATTTGGTGTCAGTTTTTTGAAAGTTGTTGAATTGTTGCAAATTTACAAGTTTCCTTAATAGTTGGAATGTAACAAGTTACACTATGTTAAAGTTTCTTTTTGATGAAAATAATTTGTCCTCTAATTTCATGCTTATAGTTCTATTTTGTAAGCATTGATTTACTTAAGTAATTTCCTTATATCCTTGATTTTACCTTTCAAAAATTTTTTTCGTAGTAAATATTGTTTTTTCCATTTCAGGACGGCTGAGCTCATGTTTGAGAATTACAAAGTTCCTGCGTTGTTTGTAGCAAAAAATGCTGTATGACATTCTTCATCCCTTATTGAAATGCTTAGAAAAATTGGTTTGAATTTCATTTATGGTTTGGGGTTAATATTTTTGCTTCTACACTAGTACTTTTAACATCTTCCTTGACAGGTTCTTACATCGTTTGCTTCTGGGAGAGCTACTTCTCTTGTTGTTGATAGGTGAAATCTCGTGCTTTTTTTTTGTTTTGGATTATTTTTGAGCTTCTTCTTAGAACTAGATTTATATATATTTTTGTTGATAGGTGGGAGCTGAGGCAGTTTATTTGTTTGTTAGCTAATTTGAACCTTAGCATTTAGCAAGTAGCTTAATTTACTCAAGTAATCAGTTTTTAAAATCATATTCCCTTAATAGTTTGATCGAAATTTTCTAACAAAGCTAATGCTAAATTCTCACTTATTATTTGACTGCCTTCTTTCTTTCTTGCGGTTTTTAAAGAAATTTACACAATGAAAATTTATTTCATATGTGTTGTTATTATGTTTTTAGTGATCTTTATAATACATTCGATACTAAAGCTTGTAAAAAAATATATGTATAAATCAATCAAATGAAGTGATACAAAAAGTAAAGATTTAGTATAAGTAAATGGTATTAAGGCTGAAAATTAAAAAATGCTTTTCTTAATTGATGATATTCAATTCAACAATTGTGGTAAGATATTGTGATAAGCTTTTCAATGAAGATTGTGGAAATATGATCAATTTTAAAAGATCTTAATATTGTAAATAATAACAAAGTTTTTTATTTCCACCATCGCATTAATAAAAGATAAGTTGAGAAGACTTAAAAAAAAATGATGTTTGTAAAAATCGTAGAACCTGATGACATTCCAATAGAAGTGCTAAAATCTTAAGAAATAAATATATTTTTTTGGCTCACTAAATCTTTTAATATTATTTTAAAACCTAAAAAGATGTCTGATGAGTGGAGAAAGAGTCTATTGGTTCATATTTTTAATAAAGATGATGCATAAGAGTGCAAATTATAGAAGAATTTAGTTAACGTGTTATACATTAAAGTCATGACAAAGAGTAATTGAACATAGGTTTATACATTAAAGTCATGACAAAGAGTAATTGAACATAAGTTTTGACGTGATACAAAAATTTCTCAAAATCAATTTGGATTCATGCTAGGTAAGTCTACTATGAAAATTATTCATTTATTGAGAGGTGTGATGGAGAAATACAGAGAGAATAACGAGGGATTGAGAGGTTTGATGGAGAAATACAGAGAGAATAACGAGCATCTACAAAGGTTGTGAAAATTGGGCCGAGTATTGAAGTGGAAGAAGTAAATGTTCAAGGCTTAATGGTTCAATTGGGGTTAAATTGAAGTTGGAATTGGATGAATTAATAAATATTTAAATTATTTTAATATAATTTAAATAATAGAATAATGATATATTAATATAATTTTTTATCTATCCAACAAATAGTTTTTTATTTAAGATAATACTTTTGAATATTTCGAACAATATTCTAAATAAAAAATTATGACATTATATTTATCTTTTTTAAATTTAAATATCTTATTCTTGTCATTTAATCAAAATCAAAAGGCTAAAAAATGAATAATAATTGAACAGTCCAGTTCTTCAAAAATTGTATCGGTTCACCGATTCTCTGGTTTAACTCCGGATTTGACCAATTCAATACTAGTTATTTGTATAAATGATTATGAGCTTGGATCGAACGGGTCGAATGACCGGTGCGTGGTTGAACCGGTCGATCCAATTTGGTTTTTAAAACCATGAGATCTACATATGATTTTTGTTGTTTTAAAAAAAGCTTATGATAATATTTCAAGAGAAATAATTTGGAGAGTTTTAGAAAAGAAAGGTGTTGATTTTATTTTTATTCAAGCTCATATCTTTTCGCTCTAGTTATGCATGTTCTTACATGTTCTTACTGGACATTTAGAGGAGGATATACCTTAGTGTATGCTTTGGTCGATGGCGTTCTTCTTGTGGATAAGACTACAGGAGTTCATGAAAAATTTGAATTATGGAGATTAACTTTAAAGTCTAAAGGCTTTTGTTTGATTAGATCTAAAATTGAGTACATTGACTGTCATTTTAGTAGTACTAAGTCTAATGGCAGGGGTGTAACAATGGGTGATCAATTCATTAAAATGAGTGAATGTTCTCATATCTTTTCGCTCTAGTTATGCATGTTCTTACTGGACATTTACAGGAGGATATACCTTAGTGTAGCTTTGGTCGATGACGTTCTTCTTGTGGATAAGACTACAGGAGTTCATGAAAAATTTGAATTATGGAAATTAACTTTAAAGTCTAAAGGCTTTTGTTTGATTAGATCTAAAATTGAGTACATTGACTGTCATTTTAGTAGTACTAAGTCTAATGGCAGGGTTGTAACAATGGGTGATCAATTCATTAAAATGAGTGAATGTTTTAGATATCACAGATCTATTGTTCAAAGTGATGATCATATAGATGGGGATGCTATTAGTAGAATTCATGTTGGATGATTGAAGTGGAGGAATGTATCGATCATATTTTGTGATAGAAAAGTACCACTTAAACTTAGAGAATAATTTTGTAAGATAGTGGCAAGATCTGCAATACTTTATAACACAAAATGTTGGCAGTAAAAGAGAACCAAAAAATTAACTTTAATGTTGTTGAGATGAGAATGCTTAGGTGGATGCGTGGCTTTACATGTAAGGGACAAATGCAAAACTAATATATGTGGTTAGCCGTAGTGGCTGACTGGATTAGAGAGAGTCGCCTTGCATGGTTTGATCATATTAAACACTTACTATCATGATGGCCTAGTTAGGGGAGTAGATGTTTTAGATTTGGCTTATGTTAAGAAAGATAGAGGTAGACCTAAAAAGACTTGGACATGTTGTATAAAAATGATCTTAATTTACTATAACTAAATGAAAATCTGACACTTAATAGGACACATGGAGAAAAATAATTCATGTAGCCGACCCCACTCAGTGAAATGAAGGTTTGTTGTTGGGTTGCTCTCTTGCACTAGTCATTTTTTTTGTCATTTACATTCCGAGTAAGATTATAAAGAGATATTTCTTCCTTATTGTTCATATTATTGCATACTATTTTTGGGTTGAGGTGAAAGATGTGATTTTTTAAAATGTTGGCAAGCCTATTGATGTGTTAGTGGAAAATAGTCATTTAGCTATTCATAAAATAACAAGAGATGGAAGTTTAAGGGGCTGTATGGTTACGGATTTAAGTAGAATTTAACTTGAATCTTGCCGAACATAAATAATGACAATTTTAAATCTGGGATTTAGTTAATCTAGTTCCTTCTGAACTCCCAGGTTTTGCCTTATATCTCATATTTACTTAAGACGCTCAAGGCGTTGTATACGTTATTATACAACGCCTAATATTGATGCTCTAGGCAATACACTGAACTTGTACTTCTCTTAGTATATGTTTTTGACTATTTTATATGCCTAGCTTTTCATTTGCTCAATTAATCTTCTACCATCGTGCCAGTCATCTTTCCCCTACGTAGCTTGCTTTGGTTTCTCTTGGATCAAAGTAGTCTTACTCTATAGTTTATATACTTGTTTGGCTTGTTTAATCTTGGTCTTCTACTGCTATTGGTTGCTTTCGACTTGCTAGATGCCGCTTCGGAGGCTGCATCTATAATTTTTTTTTTATTTCCTGGAGGGCAATGAGGAGTACAATTCAATGCATAGGGAAAATCTTTGATGCCTTCGGGCATTCATGCGAGCCCTGAACTTGTTCTTCTCATACTCTCGATGTTTGCTACTAAGATACTTTCTTTTCTTGTTGCTTCTGATCAGTCTTGCAAGTTGCCTGTATTTTTTGTTGCCTTTGGATGGGATCTACTGTGAGCATAATTTTAGTTGCACACTTTTAATACTATAAGCCTGATGATTTTCTTTTTTGCTTCTACCATTGTATTTATTTCCTTTCTTTTAAGTTTTGTTTCTTTTGGGTTATAACTCTTCCTCTATATTGGCTAGGCACGCGCTCTCAAATTCCTCTCAAGAAAAAAAAAAGGGCATTGTATTTAGGGTTTAGGGTTTAGGGTTTAACCTATATTTTAGAATTGAATTATTTGTTCCGTAAGTTCTAGGTAAACATGGGAAGTTTAAAAGGTTTTCCGTGTGCTAGACTATGCTTTGGTGATAGCCTCTGAAGCTAAGAAGAAATTAAAAAAAATGTTTAAAAGCAACAACTCATTCTTACGAGCCTTTGAGATATAGTAAATGTTAGTTTTGCTACATATAACTGCAGTTTTTTTTTTCTCCATTTAAGAGTATTTGTCATCACGATAATTGTATTTTCATGAAGGAATGTAGTTTATTATTGTTATCTATTGCACCGATTGCGCTAAAAACATTGTGTATTGATTGAACAAAAAATTTTAGCTTAACTGTTATTTATGTAAAAGTATTTTGCATAGCTTCAAAATTGAAATGTCGGTTTGTTTGCATTTTTCTTGTTAAAGTTCTTAGTTTTATTTATTGTTATTTTTCCTATTGCCTCTTTAATCTTCTTATGACTTGGAGGTAATTTAAAATGCTTAATTGGTGAAACTTTCACTAATAAACCTCTCTTCCTTCACAGTGGAGGTGGATCGACCACTGTAGCCCCTGTACAGGATGGTTATGTACTTCAGAAGGTACTATTGCCGACTAGTTATTAGATGGTTTTGCTCTCATGTAGTTCTTCATATGTTGAGGGTTTATTGTTTCTTGTTTAGTTTATTTTAAAGTTATTTCAATTGTATCTTGTATCAGTTTTATGTGCTTCTTCTATATTGTTACATCTGATATTGTATTTTTCATTAGCTAATAATATTCTTATTGCACATTATGGGATATTTCAGCACATTAATCATATTCACGATGCATATTGTACTATGAAACTAGCCATTTGAAAAGTTGCACTTGAAACTCTAACTTCTAGTTTCAGTTCAACTCAGTGGCTCTTATAAGAGATTAGTCCTTGTGGATTGCTACTTGAGTTAATTTTTTTTTTAATTATATTTTATTTTTTAGAGTAGCAAAAAAAACTCTGAAGTTTTTTAATATAAACGCTGAAAGATTTTGATAAATTGAAGTCAGGATAATGGTGGAATGTAAACAAGCTGAAAAGTTGATGTAGTTGGAAGAGTTGATGCTTTTCTGATAGAATCATAATCAACGCGTTAACCAATGATTAAACCTTGTGAAAACTTGTGCTTATTCTATTGGCTCATAAAAGTAAAATATACAGATTATAAAAGTAAAATATACAGATTGGATGATTAGATTGATTCTTTATAACTTGAGTCATTTTGATTCTGTTCTAGGATTAAGTAAAAATTGTTTTAAAATCTATGCCCGGTGGCATGTTAAAATAACTTGATTAAGAATCATAAAATCCTAGTCATTTTGATTAAGAAGCATAAGTCATTTTGTTCCTGTTCTAGGATTAAGTAAAGATTGTTTTACAACCTATGCCCAGGGGCATGTTAAAAGAACTTGTTTAAGCTCCTATGCTTGGATGTCTATGTTCAACTTAAAATTTTCATTTGGTATTAAATTGTGTTGTAAACAGTTTCATTTTAATACAAATTAATTAAGTGAAACATGCAGGCTCTATGTCAGCTTAGGCCTTTTGCTTTTTTCTCGTACAAGAGCTGATTATTGTGTCTTTAGGGCGTTGCTACGTCTCCAATCGGAGGTGAATTCCTAACCGAGTGCATGATGAAAAGCTTGGAGAGCAAAGGCATCATTGTAAGAGCTGTTTACTTTAATTAGGAAGCTATTAAATTTTGCTCCTTCTTTAGCTGGTAATGGATTGGAGCACCTATGATTTACCTTATTGAATTTTATCTATTTTTCAGTTCAAGCCTAGATACTCCTTCAAGAGAAAGGAAGTACGCTCCGGAGAATTTCAGGTAAATTTGTGATGAACTATCTAAACTAATTTTCTGATTTTCTATGCAGTGATCTGCATTTTTGTTTGCATCATATATCACATTTTAACTCTCGCTTTCTTTGATGCCCAATTTTTGGTTTGATTTTTTACTGATTTTGATGATGTTTGAGATTTAGTTAATCTGCATAACCTGGTAAAAATTTATCCAAGCTCTACCATGTGTAACAACCAATTTGGTTCTTAATCATTTCATTAATAGATATTGTTTCCTCTCCTACCAAATGTTCCAAGGTGCAGGGGTAGGAAATTCACTAGTTCTTTGCAATTTCTTTGTTGTATATTTCCCTCTAAGAAGAAAATGATGAATCAAAAAGGAAATTTAGCATCTTATTCCTTAAAAATTGTAGAGAAGTCTCCTCCAAATATCTGCAGTAAAACTACATTTGAAATATATCTATTAAAATACTTATTTTGCTAAGTTCTATTCATTAACCTTCCAAATTTTGTATGCTTTGTTTTTGTCTTAGACGATAGACCTTGATTTTCCAAATACCACAGAAAGCTACAAGCTTTATTCTCAGGTATGGATCCGTCTCTCATTTATTTGTTTTATTTTTTCTTTTCTATCCATCCAATGTTATTGAGGTTGCTTAACAGAAAATTTTTAATGGCAGAGAGTAATTGCTAGTGACATTAAGGAATGTGTATGCAGAGTTCCAGATACTCCCTATGATGGTATTCTAGTTTCTAATTTTTAGCTGCAATTTCTTGATTAATAGATTTCCTCATGGCAAAGCCTTAAATTATTATTATTATTTTTTTTGTGTATCCACTTTTGCATATGCATTCTTTTTTAACGCGCGGCATTTAAAAAACACAACATTTGTATAAATACCTTAAATGATGCTCTCCTTCTTCCTAACTTGCAAAACAGAATATTATTTTCTCCTTTTGATCTATTCTTCTTCTTGACGCAAAAACTCCAACAAAATATATCTGAAAATAAAAGCTAGTTCTGGGGTTATCAATCTGAAGTAAAATTATAGATAAATATTGTCTCTATTCTTGCTAGGAATAAATTGATGTAACTAATAAATGAGTGTATATTTTAAAACATGCTATGAGAAAGGCAATTGGTGTACTTTTAATTTTTCAAGTCTTTGTGGGGTTTTGGAAGGTGAACTTTGAGTGAGAAGCGGAGTGATAAGAATTGAGGGAGAGAGGAAAATTAGAAAATTCTCAAATTATTATTTTTGTTTTTTTTGTTTTCATTTGTGGTGAACTTAATTAGCAAATCATGTTATTGTAAATAGTGAATTAGAACTTGAGCTGTTTAGTCTGTACGAAGATTTGATGCTCTCATCTTTATAATAGTGAAAATATTTCTTTGTGTGATATGAGAGTCTAATCTCGTGAAACCACTTATTTTTGTATGTCATATTTTGATTTTTTGATAATTTATATTTTTCATTCTAGAAATTATCCCCTCTGCTATTACTTTGCCCATCACATTATTATTTTCTTTTTTTTTTTTTTGAAAATTTTTCAAGGACCTCGATATTGTTTGTTGCAGAGAGTGCATATGCAAATATCCCTATGACGTCATATGAACTTCCAGATGGACAGTATGTACATATTTTTTTTCTTCTCTGTAATGGTGAAAATATTTTTCTTTTTCTAATTTTTTGAACTGCATGGTTCTGCTGTGTTTTAATAATCACCAGCCATTCTTTTTAGCCATATTATAAATTCTCCAATTCCAGTTTATTAGATGCACGAGAAACTATACATTGCTTTGATGTTTTGATTTTCAGTGCTTTGATTTATTATCTTGCAGAATTATTGAAATTGGTGCTGATCGATTTAAGGTTCCTGATATTCTGTTTAATCCATCAATAATCCAGGTAATTATGACATAAATTTATTTAACTCATCACACTCCTTATTATCATCATCATTTGTTCTATGAGTTCTTCTATTGATCTATCATTGTACAATCGATTGGTACTGTGTTCACCTTGAACAATGTTCTAATTTTTTGTGACAATCATGGTTAAATTCAATGAACAACAACAACAACAACAAAGCCTTAATCTCACTACTTGCGGTCAGCTACATGAATCTTTTTTTCCATTGTGTCCTATTTAGTGTCATATTTTCACTTAGTTATAATAAATTAAGTTCATTTTTTATACAATAAGCCCAAGTCTTCTTATGTCTATCTCCGCCTTTCTTAACATAGGTCAAATCTAAAACATCTATTCTCCTAATCAGATCATCATATGGTCGACTTTTAATGTGTCCAAACCTTTTAAGTCGACCCTCTCTAATTTTGTCTGTCACTAGGGCTATACCAATATATTCATTTCTCATTTTGTCTCTAAGTTTAAAGCCACTCATCCACCTAATCATTCTCATCTCGACAACAATTAACTTATTATGCTTCTTTTTTTAAAGGCCAAGTTTCAGCGCCATAGAGCATTGCATGTCTCGCCACTGTTTTGTAAAATTTTCCTTTCAGTTTAAGCATAACTTTTTTATCACACAAAATGCTCGAAGCATTCATCCACTTCAACCAACCAACTTGAATTCTACTATTAACGTCCCCATCTATATCACCATCGCTTTGAACAAAAGACTCGAGATATCTAAATCGTTCACACCTTTTAATAATTTGATCACCTAAAGTTACACTTCTGTCATTAGTGCTACCACTACTAAAATTGCATTCCATGTATTCAGTTTTAGTTATACTCAAATGAAGGTCTTTATACTTCAATGTAGACCTCTATAATTCAAGTTTTTTTGGGTTTTTTTCTCTCGTCTTATCCATGAGAAGGATATTATCAGCAAAAAACATACACCAAGGTACATCCTCCTGTAAATGTTCAGTAAGACCATCCATAACTAAAGCAAAAGGATATGGGCTTAAACCCGATCCCTGATGTAATCCAACAGAAATAGGAAAATATTAGGTCAATCCTCCTTAAGTTCGAACACAAATAACAGCTCTAGTATACAAATCTTTAATGACTTTAATATAAGTCAAATCAACATCTTTCTTCTCAATAACTCTCCAAAGGATGTTTCTTGAAACCTTATCGTATGCTTTTTCTAAATCAATAAAAATCAAATGTAGATCCTACTTAGAAAGTCCAAATAAAAAGACATGTAATCAATAATTAAGAAATAGCCTTTTTTAGAGAGGGGAACTCCATTTCTCGAAAATACCAACACCAAACGAAGAAATCGATTGACCGAACTCCTTTCCTTTCACATTGAAGCCAATTGACCAAACTCCTTGCTCATTAACCAGGATGAAGGTGAAAATTTGCATCTTCCTCCCCTCTCCAAATCTAATTCATGTCTTCCCACAAGATAAATTAAAGAAATAGAGAGAGTATAATTTTTTTGTAGAACGAATAAAAGAGGAAAATTTATAGCGAACAGTAAGTGTTGACAGTTTTGCAGTTATACTGAGTTTTCAAAGAATCTCCCAACAACATTTTCTTTATGACTTTTTTTTTTATTTTGAGTATTCCACGCAACTTTATTTAAGACACGTTGTCGGCACTATTTTCGATTGGAGTTGCCTATTGGAAGATATCGGTCACTTGAATCGAAATCTCGTCGTCTACTTCGGGAAGACATTAAATTTATATATATAT